GTGGGGAGGGGGGTCGATACCAGATGTATCGTAATAAACCCATTTAAAGTGACCGCGGCCAACTGCCTTCTAACCTCCTCGAACTGCTGTGTCTTAAGCGACTAAGACTTTGTTTGTGTAAGTCTGAGGTATCGAGCCGCTCTCTCCCGGGCCAGTCCCGGGCCGGCACGGGTCCAGGCCGGAGGTCCAACCCGGCCTGGCGCTAAAGCTCCTGAAATTGTTTGTGTAAGCAGCAGTTGCGGGGGTAGGGGTAGCCGAGAGGAGGGGTTCTGCTGCTGCTAGCCAGCGGGGCGGCACCACCGGGAAAGGAGAAAGGAGAAGGGGCGGAGAAAGGGAAGGATAGGAAAGGGGGGGGGGGGAGACTATTGGAAGGGAAGAGAGAGAGAGAGAGAGCGAGGCTAGCGGCATCTGGCCAAGACATGGCCACAGCACAACACCACGCCAGACACTCTCAGTCACGGGACACGCACTCGAGGACAGGGCGGACACAGGGCTGGCTCTTTCTCTCTCGCTCTCTCGCTTCCTCCCCCCCTCTCTCTCACCCACTCTCTGATGCGAGAGCGCGCTCGCACCCGTCCGTCCTGTCCTGCGAGCACAACATCCTTCCTCACTCACAAACACACACAGACACACAAACACACACAAACACATCAGGGATAAAGAAAGCCCCAGCCAAGGGTTATACGTGTCAGAAGTGCACCTTCTTTTCTCCCTTCTCCCCCCCCCCTTCCCCCTCTTCTTCGCCTCTTGCTCCTCCTCTAAATTGTTTTGTCAGTGGTTTCGCGGCACGCCAAATCCCAGCAGCGGCACCCGAGACGTCACCGCGAAATAAAAGAATAAAAATAAAGAAGAAGACAGTGACTGAGCGTGTGGGTAGGAAAGGGCCCTGCCCGACCACACCCCGCCCCGCCCCAGGCCGAGCCCCTTCCACGCCCCCGTTAACAGCCGCGGTACGACTGCACCGCCTGCTCCTGCTTGTGTTGGAAGCCGGTTAGGGGCGGGGTGGTTGGTTGGTTGGGTGGTTGGTAGGGATTCAAATGAAGTTCCAACAGCCCCTCCCCCTCCCCTCCTCCCCATCCCTATCCCCCGACATTGCAATCGAATGGGACGCGGCGGAAGGAAGTGCTCACAGCAGGGTGTAGAGGGGGCAGAGCGGCCCCGCCATGTACAGGCAGGGAAAACGTACGCCGGAGGTCGGAACGACAAACTACATGGGCTCCGGCGGCTTCCATCGGAAACGCGAGGAAAAGCATAATGTTTTAATGATTCCGGTTAAGATGAGTTTAGCTGGGTGAGCTGTGAAAATTACACCCAGAGAACCATTTACGCTGCAAAAAATAATAACGGAAAAATGACGGTTTGACCAGATAATTTTAATTCGGTGGTTTCCGTGTTTTGAACGGCACTGAGTACGGACTGACCGTACCTCCGTTGGAATGCTACGGAGCTGGAAACCGGTTCTTCCGTACAGCTTTTTCTGGGTACGTTGAAGGATTTTAACGGCTCCGTTGGTAAAAAGATAGTGGGTACGGTCTGTCTGTACTCGGTGCTCCGTCCGTAGCGTGTTTCAGTTTGGCAGTGTATGCACTGTACCTGAACCGTCTCTATCTCTCAACTTTTATAGTGTAGTTGATTCACCAAATGAGCCACTCCCCTAAGAGAAAGTGCCTTCCGTTTTCTACTAAATTTGGTCAAGTCTATCAAAATTAATGTAATTCAAGGAATTTTTTTGATCAGCACTATTAAAATTTAATCAGATCTAAATTTCCTCGTCTCGACTGATCGGTTTTCTGTTCGTCTTAATTGTAAAATCTTACGAGAGTTTAATGAAATCCTCCATTTACAATCACACTGCTTTTACGCTTGCTTTTGAAAACTTTGCCACGACACAGTACTCTTGCTATTCGTCGAAAAGTATGCCGACTTACGACTAAAACACATCTCGTTCCCTGAGATAGCACTTTTACGACTTTTTCCGTGGAATATTTCCTTTCGTGACCCGACGATTTTTTTTGTGCTGACGACAGAAGGCACGAGTTTTTTCTCTTCGCAAAGAACTCGTTGTCTTCTTGCTCTTTTGAGTTCAGTTTGGTGTGTTGATCCAACGGATGGCGAGGAGGGTGGGTTGAAGGGCGGTGGGCGGCGAGGCTGGGTGTGGGCGTGGGAGTGAAAATTGAGGATGTAGATGAGCGGGTTGGGTGCAGCAGGTGGCGCCGTCGCGCTTAGGCCTGGGGGCCTCGTTTACCATTTCCACCGCTATGTGCTATATGCTGGCGGGTGTCGAATTGCAGGCCTCTCCCCCGTCCCCTCCCCCTTCGCTCTCTCTCCCTCTCGCTCTTCCGCTGCGGTGCCGTGATGCTGCCTGCCGCCCCCGACACAGAGGCAAAGCTTTGCGCAGGGGCTGGACTGACTGCTGGTAAATTGAATTCGATTCGCGAAGCCCTTTTCAGAAACAGCGATGCGCGTCGCTCTAATCGGATGAACCTCAAGGAGAGACATTATCCGCGTGCCACGAGGACAAAAATACAAGCGAAGAAGAAAAAAGTTACATGCAAAGAAAAATAGGAGAGTAAAAAGAGCGCCTCTTTTAAGGATTAACAGGTCTGCTCCGCCTCCCTTCACCTTTTCTTATCTTTTTGTCGATACGTAATTAATTTGCCTCCCATCCGACCGACAGGCGAGGTGGCCGGGGTGTGGGAAGGCGAACTTTTAAACTTCCTAGTTCACTAACCATAATCTGGCCAGTTAGAGCAGAATAAACTCACACGCCACACACGCAGACCACCCTCCTAGGGTCCTAAAGCAACCCACTGGTGGGAGTGAGACGAGGACTTGACACAATATATGCCTAGACAACAACGGGGTTTCTTGGACGAGCGAGTAGGGGAGAGTTACGACATGGTGAGGGAAGATGCGTCAAAATCCAAACGCCTCGCCCCGCCGCGCTCTCTGTCGAGTGCGAGCGCGACCAAGCTGCCGCCTCGGTTCGCCGGTACGAACATTTCAAAAAGACTTCATGCAGAATTTTTCCTGGAACCTTTCAGCCGAGTACCGCTCTCACTACATGAGTGGGTTTGAGTAGACTGGGCCGGAGTGTGTGTGTGTGTGTGGGGGGGGGCGTGGCGGGCGTGGTGGGGATCAGAGAGGAGTTCATTCCGGCGAAACGCCCGCATAAGAAGGGCCGTAACAGGGTGCTGCGGCCGGGCGGCGGCCGTGCCGGACCTTCCTGCCGCTGCTCCCAGTTCGGATTACAGGATGAAAGATGCAGCAGGCCTGCTGCTCGCCTCTCCTGTCGCCGCCTGTCGGCCCGCCGGCCCGCCGCCCCCGCCGTGCTGGTGCTGATGGTTCCCATAATGGCGACTGCCGACCATCGCTGCCTGTTAAATGTTTGCCGAAGGCCGCGGCCCAACCGCACGGACTGACGGCAAACAGTCACTGCGATTTCATGAGCCAACCACTCCCCCCCCCCCCGCCTCTGCCGCAACTGCAGATAAAGGGACACCAACTCTACGAATAAGGAAAGCATACACACGTCAAGGATGCCGACCGGTACGTAGAGAGAAAGACAGACTTTTATTCCTATTTCCGAGAAGAGTATTCCTCCGGTATCATTGTCATTATTCCACTTGTCTCAATGAGGCGTGTGTCGTCGCCACGGCGGCGCTGCGGGGGGGGGGGGGGAGAGTCCTGATGAGGGACGAGACAGTAGGGCAGACGCCGGTGTGCTCGGCGCAAATGAGGGCGATGATTAAACGAAAGCAATTCGTTTGGGACAAATGAAACAAGGAAAGGAGGCGGCGGGGCGGGCGCAGACTACAACGCGACGGCTCGATCAGCTGACGGCGGCGGTGGCGCAGCGCGTGGTGGTCGTCGTCTTCCATCTCCCTTCGGCAAAGTCTGCTCCGCGCAGAAACAAAAGGGGTTCGGTTCGACGGG